ACTCCATCAGTTTGTATGTGTTGTGTGTTTGTGTTTGTGTATGTGTTTGTATGGGTGTGTGTGTGTGTATGTATATGCATGTGCCTATGTGTGTGTCTATATGTACATGTGCCTGTGTGTGTTTGTATGGTTCTGTGTGAATTTTTGTGTGTGCCTGTGTTTATGTCTATGTGTCTTTGTGTGTGTGTATTTGTCTTTTTGTGTTTGCCTATGTGTTAGTGTCTAAGTTTGTGTGTGTGTGTGAGAGTGTGTGTCTATGTCTGTGCTTTTGTGTGTGGTTGTGTTTGGGTGTCTTTGTGTGTATGTGTTTGTGTGTCTTTGTGTGTATGTGTTTGTGTGTCTTTGTGTGTGTGGTTAGGTGTGGGTGTCTCTATGTGTATGTGTTTATACTTGTGTGTCTCTGTGTTTGCGTTTGCGTTTAGGTGTGTGGATGTCTTTGTGTGTATGTGTGAATGGGTGTCTTTATGTGTGTTTGTGTATTTGTGACTCTATGTATGTGTATGAGTGTTTGTGTGTCTGTTAGTGTCTGCCTCTGTGTGTGTGTGTGTTTATGTGTGTTTCTTTGACTATGTGTGTCTATGTGTGTATGTGTTCCTTAGTGTGTGTGTGTTTGTGTCTTAGTGTGTTTATATGTGTGTTTGTGTTTATCTTTGTGTGTGTCTTAGTGTGTTTATATGTGTGTTTGTGTTTATCTTTGTGTGTCTTTGCATGTGTTTTTGTGTATAAGTGTGTATGTGTGTCTAGGTGTATGTGTGTGTTTGTTTGTGTGTGCTTTTGAGTGTGTGCATGTAGGTGTGTGAGATATGTGGCGATGACGTGGGACTCACGGTGGATGGAGACGAACTTGACAGCAGTCTTGACCTAGAACATTCGATGAGAGTCACCTGCCGCCTTAGACCTAATCATTTCTATATATAACAGTGTGACGTTATAGACATGAATCGCACTTATGATCCCATAAATCACGCCCCATTATGGACTCGTAACTCCCGATATTTATTACCGTTCCCACGGATCGTGGGATCTTATTGATTGTCCGAGTGAGCCAGTTAATCTCCCCATATTTGGGTCCCTCTTGTGTGATCGACATTTTACCGACCTGCCTCTAATCGACCAATATGATCGGCTAATAGGAGACCACCACGGTACAGATGCTAATATGTAATATATAAGAGCATCTTTTGAATACTTACACCAGGTCTGATCAGGTTTAGGTTTAAGAACCTCATCTCTAGATGTGAGTTGCACTCGTATACAGTTTTAACTACTAACTACATTAATTTTCACAATCTCTCTCTTAGAGATAAAAACGAGGGCCCAAGCAATTATTGTTACTTAGAATTACGATGAAATAAATTATATTAAATATATCTTAAAAGTTACTAATGCACTACTAATTTTAATTAAAGTAGTCGGTTTATCCTTTTAGTTAATTTTTTTTATTAATAATAAATTAATTTTATTTAGTAATATAAATTTAATTTTTTAATATTTAATATCATTTAAAAAAAAAGATACAATTATATAAAGTTAATATCAAATGATTTTTTTTAATGTCTAAATAACTAATAAGAATCCTTTCCTTTATTTCAAGATTGTCAAATCAATATAAAATTTGAAATACAATAACATGATAATTATCTTATTGAAAGGGAGAGATAAAATCAAAAATATAAAAATAAATAAAATATAAAAATTAAGTTGTAGAAAAAAATATTATTATCATACATATGCATGCATTTTTTTTTTATTTTACACATTGACTTAAATACGATTTTGATTTTTTTTAAAAACAGTTATGTGACGTTAATCATTTAAATTTTAATTGAGTAATTTTTATCTCTTAAATATTATAATTTTATAATTTTGGTCATTCAAATTTTAATTGATTAATTTTAGTTCATTAAGTATAAATACTACAATATTATGATTTTAGTTATTCAAATATCCTAATATATAATTTTTGGCCATACAATAGATAATTGAGCAATTGTGTAACTTTCATATATTTTTATAATTTTTAATTTTATTATAATTTTAAATCTATAATAATATTAGTAATGAAGAGGGTTCAAACGATACCGGTGTAACTTTTACTAAGTATTACACCGCTCAATAACTTTATATTAAATGTGAATTTTGTAAATCCAACCGTTAGATTGAAATTTCTTTACTTTTAGACCATATATAAATTTTTTTATATTAATCTTAAATGATTTAATACTTCATTCTTATAAAATAAAATTGACGTAATATATACATTTCAAAATATAATACAATATAAATACTTTGATTACCTTTAAATTGTTGTTCAATTTTAACAAAATTTGATATAAACATATAAAGTGACATGAACTTTCAATCTAACGGTTGAGTTTACAAAATTCACATTTAATATAAATTTTTTGAGTAGTGTAATATTTAGTAAAAGTTATACATTTGAACCCTCCTCATTAGTAATTAGTAAATTAGTTATTAGTAATGAAATGTAAATGTAACTGTAAATAATAATTAATTACATTAAAAGTATTAAATACATATTTTTTGTTTTATTTATTTATTTTTATTTTATAATAAAATTTGTAAATGGAAAAATTTTGACAATAACTTTTAAAATAAAGAGAATGGTGTAGAAATTGTCCATTTTATATATCTTTTTAAATAATACATTAAAAGATTAAATAAAATATAATTTATAATATAATATATTATAAACTTTAATCATTATATATAATGAATTCTTACAAATATTATTTCGTTATTAAAATATTCTAATTTCATAAATATATAAAAAATAATTATTTTTCTATAGTTATTAATAATATTAAAAATTAATAATTAGTAATAACATTGAAACGAATTTAATAATGAATAATATTCATTTTCATCATAAATGCTTATTGAATTTGTTCAAATATTTTAAATAATTTAATACTAAATCTTAAACTTGAATTTTTTTAAATAACAAAAACAAATATTAAAATACTTTTAAAATTCTTATAATATCGTTACTCCTTCATTTTTATAAAATATATCATTGCATTATTAATATATTAGTTTTTCAATCGTTATTAAGAATATGATTTAATTGATATAAAATTTTGAAGAAGTTTTTGAAAGAAATTTTTTGAGGAAAGAAGCCGTTAAGTTTTAGAGAAGTTGCTCACTTTGTATTATTGATATATTATAGATTTGTTTGCTTTTAATAGATGTATGAAAAATATTATTATATGCAATTTATTTTAGTCAAATTTGTTAAAATATGTAAAAATATTAGTTTTGTCTTACATTTATTATATTTTTATCCAATTTTTTCTTTTATTTTGTGAAAATAATTTTTATAATGTATAATAATTGAATTTGTAAAAAATTAATAATGATTTATAATTATTAAAATAATTTTATTCAAATTTTCCTTTTATTTTGATAAATAATTTTTATAATGTATAATGATTGAATTTTACAAAAATTTAATAATGATTACTAATTATTAAAAAAAATTATCCAATTTTTTCCTTTTAGTTTATAAAAATAACTTTTTAATAACCTAATTATTAAGGTGAAATCTAAAACTTTTTTATTATTTATTAAGATATTAGTTATTTTGATATTTTTTGTTTTTAATTATTTTTAGTAGCAGTTTATTTATAATAATATTTATATATAAAAATATTTAGGGGAAAATTATTGGAGATAAATTTTGGAAGAAAAAAGTTATTTTATACACATTTAGTACAAATTTATTATAAACATAAATTTCTTTAGTACCCCTAATTTTATAGATTGGTTGTAAATTTATAGATTAATTGTAAACATTATTTTTCCTTGTAAACTTTGTAAACATTACTTTTCCTTTTAATACAAAATTATATAAACATTATAGATTTAAAGATTATAAAAACATTGATTCTACTGTACCCCCAATTTTATGGATTTATAGATTCATTGTAAACATTATTTTTCCTTGTAAACTTTGTAACCATATATTTTCCTTTTAATACAAAATTATAAAAACATTATACATTTAAAGATTATAAAACAATTCTAATTTCTATTGTACCCCCAATTTCATAGATTTATAGATTCATTGTAAACATGAATTTTCCTTTTAGTAAAAAATTATAAACAATTTTTTTTATTTGTCATTGGTTCATAAAAACGAAAATTGAAATTAAACAAATGTGCATAATAACTACACATTATATAGAATTAATATCAAGGTATATCTTGGTAATTGAATTCATCTTGTAACTCACAGTAACGCACAAGTTAAACAATAAATCCTTCGGCCCGCACATTCTCCAAAAGTTAATTAATTACCACACTAGTTTCATTGATTCATCATCATCATAAAGTTTCTTATTATTTGGATTATATGCAGTTATTTTTGGTGCAATATTTGTGACAGTTTAATAATTTTTTATTACACAATTCATCCTATCATTTACATTCTGCCACGTCATTTCTTTTAAAGTGACTATTTTAAAAAACTGATATTTAATGTAGTGTGATAATTTCAAAGAAAAAGTAACAAGTATGGTGCAGATGAATGTGATTAGATATTGAACTTTTTGGTTCTCGAAGAATTTGCTTACGTACACTTTAGTGTTTTTTAAAATCGCAATTTGAACAAAAAAAATGGAGGAAAAAACTACTTTTGTTTTATATAAATATAAAGATATAAAGATAATTAGAAAAAAAAATCAAAATATAAGTCAAATAAGACTGTATTTATAAGAGTTACAAAAGAATATTATGCAGTACTCATGCTTGTTACTTTTTCTTTGAAATTATCACACATTCACACTACATTAAATATCAGTTTTTTAAAATAATCATTTTAAAAGAAATGATGTGAGAGAATGTGAATAGTTAGATGAATTGTGTGATAAAAAATTATTAAACTGCTCACAAATGCATTAAAACCTGCACATAATCCGCATCCCGAATATATATTACCAACTTCTGCTCATTTCATTTCACAGTACTATGCTGTTAACATGGAGAATCAACACACGTTCTGGAAGTCCAATTATGAAATTGACGAGTTTCCATTTGCACCTACGTGCCAATTTTCTTCATATGATTATAACTGGTATATCAAACTTCTGCATGCCACGTACCTCTTAATTAATTTCTCTACACTTTTCAGATTCCAAATGTTAAAGTTACCAAGTCTTTTGAGAAGGTTTCTCACTGTAACGTCTTTAATTTCTGCAGGGATAATGCTAATGATGATGGTTATCATTGTTCATATCAATATGATGATCAATTTCCTTGGCAAGATAGCTATCTTGATGCCATCCCTTTTTCGAAGTGTTATTATCCTCATGACATTTTCTATGAAACTCTTCCAATTGAACCAAGCCCGTTAAGCGCACAAGGTTATTTATCAGTGCATATATATAAGACTTTTTAAAGTCTTTATACTACAATACATTGTTCTTGTTTTGTTTTGATATGGTAGATTCTAATTGCTGTTGCAGATTATGACTTTTGTGACGTTAATAATGTGCTTTCTGCGAGGAATGAAGTTGATGGTTCTGACAAAGCTGTGTTCTCATCATGTAATGGTGGAGAAAGTGTGAATGAAGTGAGGGAAGATTTTAAGGGTAAGCAGTGCAGGGAAGAGAGAAGTGGAAGTGCGAGAATGTTGTCAAGGAAAACGGTTTCTGAGTACTTTTACATGCCAATATCACAAGCTGCAAGAGAGCTTAATGTGGGTCTCACACACTTGAAGAAAAGGTGTAGGGAGTTAGGGATTCAGAGGTGGCCACACAGGAAGCTCATGAGTTTGCAAACCCTTATAAAGAATATACAAGTAAGATCTCACTTCTCGTTCTGTGAACTGAATAATCAAATATATAAACAGTGTCATATGGAGAATGTCATACTAAAAGTTATTAGCAGAAGTGATTGAATTGAATACTTGTATTTTTTAATTAAAAGATGACATTTGATATCTATCTTGAATATATATAGAATTCTTAAAATGGATCCATCTACTAAAAGAGAGTATATATGATAGTTATGAAAAATAATTTTAGTTTCACCCACATATAATGAGAGTTTAAACTTATAATGAGTAACTACAGTAATTTTGATCTTTTAAACATATAAAGAAAAATTATTAGATGATTTTGAATCAATTTTTATATGAAGACATGCAATTAAGTGTTAGTAATTTTCTTTTAGTAAATTTAAAAACTTAAATATATGTCCTATAATGATTAATTGAGATCATGGATATTTCATAGTGTTGAACTACTTAATAGTTTTTCTATATAAAAAAAGTTTGATGATCTTTCTATATCACCTTGACTTAAAAATAACAAAGAAAGTTGAAGGTTTTTTTGATTTTATTTTATGAATATTATAATTATAATGAATATTGGGTGCAGGAGCAAGGAGAGGGGTATGAAAATGATGAAAAAATAAGGGCTGCCATTGAGGTGTTGGAGAGAGAAAAGAGGATGGTGGAGGAAATGCCGGATTTACAACTTGGTGATAATACGAGAAGGCTTAGACAAGCTTGTTTTAAGGCTAACTACAAGAAGAGGAAACTCATGGGCATGCATGAGGTTCATGAAACCACAATCTCCCCTTAGTGGCCTGTCCTACAGTAGTATTCACAAAGGGTGAATAAAATTATCATGAAGCATATATACATATATGAACTAGACATCAACTATCTTTTTATTAATCCTTAATCCTTATTATACTTTTGACGCATGTTATATTATGGGGGTTCAACGTTATATATGCATTATAATTGGACTATTCATGGTGTTAATTGTCCTTTTCTTTTTCTTCATTTGAGTGAATGGATATAAATAACTCATCTTTTTCTATGAAAATTTTGCTATACTTAATGTTACAAACTAGGGATGGGAGGATTTTCAGTTAACTTTAATATATCGTTGGAATTTTCTCATCCTTTGGAAAAGAAAAAAAAAATGATTTCTCACTGTTTTATAGTGTAAATCTAGAATTTGATAATTGGTTTAGTTTACTGAACTCCCTCTCTGACTGCACACATGTACACTATATACTTTGGGCCTGTTTTTTAGAGAAAGAATAAATTTGTGCCAATTTTAACTGCAGTTCGTAACTGCAATGTTATTAGCATGTAATATCAAGGTTTTACACATCTTTAAAAGTTTAAATATGTTTTTGTCCTTATAAAATTAGTAAATTTTGATTTTAGTTCTTGTAATTTATTTATTTATTTTATATTTTTCATTCTTATAAAATTAAAACTGTTTTTTTTTTAATTTCTATTTTTATGTAATTATTTTTTAACTATTTTTTATTTGTTACTTTAAAATGATCATTAAAAATTAAAAATAATTAATTTAAATTTTAAAGGAATAAAAATTAAAAAATTATATTTTATAGCGATTAAAATAAAAAAAATTATTTTATAAAAAGATCAAAAATAATATTTATAAATTTTAGAAAGGTAAAAAATTTTAAAAAAAATTTAAAGGAATGAAAATCAAAATTATCAATTTTATATGAACTAAAAGCATATTTAAGTCATTTTTTAAATAATGAAAAAAAAGTGTGCATAATAAGGGAAAAAAAAAAGTCTTCACAGTTTTAGCGATTGTGTGGTCATATGAATTAGCATTTTCTCCTAATTGTGTTCGGTATTGTTATTGTAACCATCATATTTAAAACTTTTAAATATTATTGTTTAGCGTATTAATTTGATTTATATAGAACAAGTTTAAAGTCCCCATAGAGAGACACATTTTGATGATTTCCTGATATATGCTCTTTTAATAATTGGGATGGTGATAAAATTGCAAAACTGTGTTGGTGGAACCCCACCTTGAGTTACTTTTGAATTTTATGTTGTATTATACATGTCGAGTGCATAAATGTGAAAATGTTAGTCTTGTTATATAAACTTCTTTATAAAATATATACAAGAAAAGAATATGAGCAAAGAAAAATAAAATTAGTTTCTTCATAAATTAATATTTCCTCTTATATAATTTCTTTGAAAGCTTTTTCTTTTAACTTGCATAATTTAATTGTATTTTATGAAGAAATGATTTTTTTTATCCTTTTTAATATTTTTAATAAATTTATCTAAGTAAGCTCTTATTTATTTATTTGCCTTGGATTTGGTTTACAAATTTCATGAAATGTTTTGAGTAAGGTATACATCTCGACTTTACAAAATATTTCATGCCACTAGTAGCACTTATTATTATTATTATTATTATTATTTTTTTTTTAAAACTATCTGTCTATTATATCATATTATTTATTTATATTGATATTTATTTTTCTATTTTTCCCGTTAGCATTTAGAATATCGTGCATCATTCTCCTTATATTTTTGAACATGGATTCTGAAATCTTCATTTAAAGTATATTTTAACACTTATTTTTCTATATTATCTCACTCGTTTTCTATACTTTTAAAGGTTCTTTCTCTAATATGAATTCTGAGAGTGATTCTAACTTATTCTATATAAAAATGTATATGAAATATTATACTAAATGATACCATGATTATGGGATGATGGAAATGTCTGATGATATTTTAACTTTGGTCCTAAAAAGTGGTTAATAATATTACGATGAAATTCATATTACAATAAATGAGGTTTTGGAATTCTTAACCATAGGTATCAAATACATTCATGATGTTATTTTGGTGCCTGAACTTGACTAAAACTTGTTGAACGTGGGACTCCGATAAATTTACATGTGATCTGTTACAAAATAACTCAAATATTGTAAAAACATGCAGAGTAACAAAAAGTGAATTACAAATTCGGTGAGGGATGTCAGAGTTAGGTGTACTTACCACAACAATTCACTAAAATAAGAAATGTGCGCTTAAAATAAGAGTAATTATAATTTATAATTACGCATTTTTTTTTTTTTTTTCATTATGATTTTTGTTTTCTCTCTAGATTATTCGGCCATTCATCATGCTTAAACTGTATTCAGCCAGAGTTCTACACCAATGGGTGTCAAATTGCAACGTTAACCAAATCACCCCAAAAATTCCAAAACATGACTTCAGCAACAAAATGTTGCACGTTAAAGCTGCACCGTGTAACAGAACACACCGGTATAGTTGCAGTAGGTTTGAATTGATAGGAAGAGGAAGTCCCATATCGGTTGTGGGCTGCACCTCCTTCCCTTACTCTTCTTATGAATAAAAGTGTAAGGTGAATGCTTTAAATGTACTCATTTCTTGTATTCTCCTTACATTTAAGAGAGGGTGTTGGAATTTTTTCCACCTAGTAAAATATTTTTCTTGGTCTTGCCCTTGTGTGTGAGATATAGTTTAATAATTTTTTTTTTTTTTTTCTCTTCTCTTATTTTAGCTGTGAGTACAATTTTATTGCTCTAATACCTAACAGTGGTATTAGAGCCCACTGTTTTTGCTTACTAATCGTACAATGCTCACACTTTAGCTGGTTCACAAATTACTATTCCAGTAGACAATACTATACATAATAGAAATTGTGTAAGTTGGTTCAAGAGTGAAACCATGACAACAAAATTTGAAATAGAGAAGTTCAATGGGAACAATTTTTCCATGTGAAAATTAAAGATAAGGGCAATCTTGAGAAAAGGCAATTTCCTAGATTCAATTGAAGTTGGATGTGCATATATGTCTGATGAAAAGTGGAAAGAGATGGAGGACAATGTTGTTGTCAATTTGCACTTAGCAATGACTGATTCAGTTTTGTCTAGCATAGTAGAGAAGAAGACTACAAAGGAGATTTGGGATACCTTAATCAAATTGTACGAGGTCAAGTCAGTACATACAAGGATATTCTTGAAGAGAAAACTCTATACTCTTCGGATAAGTGAGTCCACGCTAGTGACAGAACACATCAACAATCTGAACACTTTGTTTGCCTAGCTCACAGCGTCAGATTTCAACATAGTTGAAAATGAACATGTAGAGCTTCTACTTCAGAGTTTACCAGATTCGTATGATCAACTCATCATCAACATTACAAATAACAACATTGTCGGTCGTCTATCCTTTGATGATGTTGTTGGAGCAATTCTTGAAGAAGAGTCCAGGCAAAAGAATAAGGAAGATAGACTGGAAAGTTCGAAGCAAGCAGAAGCTTTGACGATGATGAGAGGAAGATCAAGGGAACAGGGCTCTAGTGGGAGTCAGAATCATGGTAGGTCAAAGTCTCGAGGTAGAAAAAATTTTAAATCCTACAATTGTGGCATGAGAGGGCACTTAAAAAAGGATTGTTGGCACAAGAAGAGTGGAGGGAAGAATTTTGAAGCATCAAGCTTCCAAGGTTGTGTTGCACAAACTTTTGATGATGGAGAAATCCTGTATAGTGAAGCATAACTTTTTTGATGTCTGGACAGTAGATTCAGGCGTGACAGGCATATGACTTCACACCGAGACTAGTTTCACACTTATGAACTTATCTCAGAAGGGTCTGTGTTCATAGGGAATGATCATGCCTTAGAAATTGCAGGAATTGGTACCATCAAAATCAAAATGCATGATGGTATAATACGCTCACTTCAAGGGGTTCGACATATGAAGGGATTGAAAAAAAATCTCTTGTCTGTTGGGCAACTGGATGACCTTGGGTGTAAGATTCATGTTGAAGGAGGAATCTTGAAAGTAGTGAAAAACAACCTCATAGTGATGAAAGCAGAGAAGATAACAGTCAATCTATACATGCTTTTGGGAGATACGTTACAAGAAGCCGACGCATCAGTTGCAACAATAAAAGAAGAAGAAGCAACGATGATGTGGAATTACAGACTCGGTCATATGTCAGAACGAGGCTTGAAAATTCTTGTTGATCAGAATTTCTTGTCCGGGCTCAAAACAGTTAACTTACCATTTTGTGAGCATTGTACGATTAGTAAGCAACATAGATTGAAGTTTGCTAAAGTGACTGCTAGGAGAAAACACATACTTGACTTGATCCATTCTGATGTCTGGGAATCACCAGAAATTTCCATGGGAGGAGCAAAATGTTTTGTATCATTCATTAATGATTATTCCTGGAGATTGTGGGTGTACCCAATCAAGAAGAAGTCATATGTGTTCCCAGTATTCAAGGAATTTAAAGCACAAGTGAAACTTGATACTGGAAAAAGGATTAAGTGCTTGAGGATAGATAATGGAGGAGAATATATAGATGGTGATTTTCTGGCATTCTGCAAGCAAGAGGGTATTAAGAGGCAATTTACAATTGCTCATACACCTTAGTAGAATGTGGTAGCAGAGCAGACAAATCGAACTCTTCTAGAAAGGACAAGGGCTATGTTGAGAACTGCAAGATTAGCCAAGTCTTTCTGGGCAGAAGCAGTCAAAACTGCTTGTTATTTGATCAATTGATCACCATTAACAACAATTGGTTTAAAGACACCAATTGAAATGTGGAAAGGAAAACCAGCTGACTATTCTTCTCTACATGTATTTGGTTATCCTGTGTACGTGATGTACAACTCCAAAAAAAAAACAAAGTTGGACCCAAAATCCAAGAAATGTATATTCTTAGGTTATGCTGACAATGTTATGGGATATCGCTTGTGGAATCCCATTGTCCACAAGATTGTTATTAGCAGGGATGTAGTCTTT